GGAAACGTCAAAAACTTTAAAGAACGACGTGTTCATAATCGAACACAATTCATTTCTTAGTATGAGCTACAATGCATACAATAAAAGCACGACGTTAATTGAGAAGTTTCCGCGATTTGATATGAGGATATGTGCTTTCCGGTTGTATCACACAACAAGACGAACTCCGACTTACTTAAAACAATTATCTCTCAAGAGAGTCATCATAAATAGATTTTTCTTCTTTGTGGAACTAACGTTTATTTTCTCTGAGAATAGTGCGTGTAAGCTTTAAGATGAAGTTTTGTAGCTTCCACCAATCGTTTCTATTCCAGACACTAGGACTCTCGTCGTCCTCCTTCCATTTATAGACCATAACAACGTTGATAACAAGGCTTAGATTAGCCTACAATATATTAGAAGTTTTCAGGACCTTCGACAAAAGTTGATTGATTGAAGTACATTTGTGAATGTTTTAAATATAGTGCAGTTTTAAATTTCGGTGACGATAGAAAGGATGGGTGGCGATTTCTACAGAAATTGACCCAATTGGATTTTAATAATTGCATCGTATAGAAATAAAGAGCTGGCTGAGAGAAACTATGTCTTATATTTTTTAAATGGTTTGAGTGAATATTTACAAACTTAGTACCCAATAACATTTTCAATTTTCTATGCATTATATAAGAAAATTCTGATTACGAAATTTTACAAGTGTTCCTTGACGTATGTAATTGTTTCTCTATTATAAACTAAACGAATTATATACTAGTAGATAGACCGTGAAAGGATGTGAGTGTGGATCTTCTATGCTCTGACACCCACACACATTCGCCTAGCCTTGGCATGTTTTTTTCGAACACACCCAGAATCGAATCGAATTTTTATCATTCGGTTTAATCTGCGACTCACATCCAGATCCTATAGAACTATATTTAACGCTCGTAAAAACGTTATAAAAAACTAATCAGCCTTGTAACCAGATCAAAGCAACTAATGGTATTACAAGACTGATAGCAAAACAAAAATTAAGAATAAATAAAATCAGTTTCAATGTGCCAAAAGGACTATTGTCACTTGCTTCAACTTGTTTTCCATCGATAATTGATGCTGAATGTCCATTGTTCATTTCATGTTCTATTTCAGCCTTAGCATTATTAGCCGTTACTGTAGATGATTTCATTCGAATCAGATATTCCACCACTTCAAAAATGATAAAAATTATTACAATCCAAGCCGACCAAAGTGACATTATAGTAACAAAACCATCATGATACTTTAACAGTACAAATACCACAAGAAAAATCGTTGGTACCGACAGTATAAGAGCTAACATACCAGTTGTTCGATGAATCCAATTGAAAACAAAACGAAAACGATCTCCTGGATGACAACGAAATAAAGCCATCCATGCTTGAATAAGTGCACAACCTACAACAATCGCTCCCAATATTGAATGTGCAAACATTCGATCACCATCTTCAGCTTGATCCACCCATCGACCTTTCGCTTGTCCCAAAACGAGAAAAAAGCCGAGTAATGTCCCAATGACAGTTGTTATTAGACAAAATCGATGTATTTGAAACCAAATATCTTCACCGAATATTTGTTTCTTTTTATTAACACGTACTGTACGACCATAACGTGCATATAAAACTCCAGTTGAAGCAAAAACCATCCAAGAAAATACCATGACAGTTCCATGTGCTCTTGCTAATCGAAAATCTGGTGTTGAATCTGTGCTGGCCATTTTTTATCACTATGTCGTCCGAAAAAATACAATAGAATAGGGTTTTTATGCTTCTTCAAGAATGAAAGACACACATCATATATATATATATATGGAATAAATTTTGCTTCGTCATCATACAAATAAAGGTAGTTATTTAGTTTTAGTTTTTTTTCTACGTCAAGGACATGACTATCGATCACAATAAAAAATAAGAGAGCTTATTCGTTCTCTCTAGAAGGTACATCATGAAACTCGTGAAGTGCCGCGAAGAAACACTGCTACTCCTGAAAATGAGAAATAATATGATCACTATGCATTTTTGACAACTCACATCAGCATGACAACGCAAAACAAATCATATTGTTAAAACTTTGCATCTAAAATAAATTAAGTTAATCTTGGATCGAAAAGGTAAATATACAAAATTCGTAAGAAGCCCGTATGTACGAGTCGTGGCCAATCGATTTGTTACTGTGCAATTTATTATGGGACTATGATTTATAGTCAGTAAATAAAATAATTATAAAATTAGTCAATTTAATAATTGATTAGTAAAATAATTGAATGTATAATGAAGCCCATCGGGTATGGGGTGTGGCTGTGTGGATGTACTTTTTCTCTACATCGACATACACGTCTGCGCTCACATCCACATTCACACTTATGCATTAACAAAATTTTTAAGTGACTAGACTCAACAGAATATTTCTACATATGCTTCTCTGCATTTTGGTTTCCTTAATAAACTCGAATATTCGATCACGGAATCGATTAGATATGAATCTTCGTTCACTCTTCAGTTTCAGCCAAAGCACATAATTTTATTCATAAAATAGTCTTCAATTGTGAGCGTTGTGTTTCTCTTTTATGAAACTGTAACGGGAAACATACTACACGCGCATCAAACTTGTACGCTCTTCAGCAACGATGATTATAACTAAAATGAATAATAATCAGCATATTTTCAAGTCATTTATGTCTCGTCTCACTTAATTCCTATTTGATTGACTAGAATCAAACTTGAAATCTTTAACGTTGTTTCTTCTTGAAAAACTTTCGGAAGAAGTTTGGTGCTGGCAAAACTGCATTGTAATGCATTTGAAGAAGACCCCGCTGCGCATACAGGTAGAGGGTAAATTAGAAACGATTAATGATGCACATGAACAGAACAGAATCAATGGCGTGACGAGTCCCTATTACGCAGTATAGTCACATGGCAAGAGAAAACATACTTCCTTCGTGCACATAAATATTTTGCAAGTTGGAAAAAACCCGATCATTTCATGTCAATGATATTACCGTCACATAGACGATCAACGAGCATATATATACATATTTGCTTATTTCACCAATCACACTTTAATTGGTAAGTAGAGTCACATAGAGAGATGATAGTAACTGCTTCTTTCTGCTTTGCTTACTTATTCTCACACGAGCAGAAATCGATGTTTTGGTTTTTAGATACGAATGATGTACACTTCGACTTCCTAGGATAGTCTTATCTATTGCTATTTGTAAGGATCAGATTGGTTTTATAAACTTTCAGATATATGAACTGAAATACTAAGTATCGTAGAAGCGCTAAAAATAATTCTTCGAGATTCTCAAGTCTCTGATTATCGACCTTTCAGACCTGTCCATTTCAATTTTTCTTTGTTCAATACACATTCTCTCAGACAGAAATGTTTACTGTTGCTTTCTTGAAAATTTCATCATTAAAAAAATTTATCCTTAATAGATCGATTTCATATTTTTATAGCAGTCTTGGACTTTATTTAGATATTTTTCTAATATTTGACTTTAGGGTGTGGATGTGAGTACCACTGAAGCGAAATCTTACAATCCCACACCTATACCCACCCATACCCACACTCACGCCCACGCCCCACCACACCCTTTTGACTTTCAATTTACCGATGACACAGAAAGTGACTCGGATGCCTATACATTTCTTGTCATCTAGGAATCGAAAGCCTCTTTCACAATAGCAAGACTTTAAAACAATTGTTTTCTAATAGAACTAAATGTTTGCCATTTCCATCAAACAATAACCTTGGTGCTTT